AAACCAGTAGAAATCTCGATCTGGGTTTTGCATCTAATCCAGCTAAGGCTTTTCCAGTTTATTCAATTCGCTTGAAGTCAGGTTTTTTGCCGAACTTGCCTGGCGTTAATTTCGATGTTAAAAACTGGGAGGACCCTAATATGAACATTCGAGATGCAATCACAAATATTAATATTCACAACGTCTATCCGCATGGCTTCCACCCTGGAGCGTGGATCAAGTTCAAACTTACGGACGGTGGGACCAAAGACATACTGACACTTCTTAACTTTAGTGGCACTGGTTCCGGTTGTAGCTGCCATGAGGCATCCCCCGACGTGCTTGTCGCTCGGTTTGTTGGCTTGATCACGCCTGGCACCGCTCTTGGATTTTCTAACTTAATCGCAGTGCATGAAAATGTGTCCGCCGTAGCTGCTTTCCAATGTATTGCAACTGCATGGATGCAGTCGGTGGCCGGTGTATCCTGGATAACCTGGGCTTTGAAGGGGCATCAGGTCAGCTTCCAATTTTGCGACATATTATTGGACAAGTTGGTTAATGAAGCTACATTCCGTCACATAGTACGGATTGACCCAGAACCACGTTGGGCCCGTTATGTCATATCTTGCTTCGGAGTTGACAATCTCACGTCTTCAACACTCGTCAGTTGGTGGGCATTAAAATACGTCCTGCAGAAGATGAACTATATGATTCCGGCCTGCATCGAACACAGGAGCATGCTAGTGGGCGCGGAAGACAGGATTGGCCTGTTTTTCTCCAAAGCATCAGAATGGCAAGCTCTCCAACGAATGTCTAGTCGAATAGCGGTGCGTGAAGCATCTGATGCCCCATCATACGCTAGTACGGGTTCTAAGTCACCAGAAATGAAGGTGTGCTACACGCATTATAATTGGCACCGTTACCGAGCAATGTGTGCGGAATCGAATTTTCTTAACAGCAAAACCTGCACTGATTTGAAATCTGGTATCGATGCAAGCGGTGCTGTCACTGCAGTTCTGAGCGGCTGTCGTTCGGGTATTGCAGCGCATCTGCTGCTGTTTTCAACACCGAATCAACCCGGTACTGGAATGGAGGACATGATGGTATCCGACAAATGGCCAAGCCCGTGGTGGGATTGGCTGCTTCCCGGTGTGAATGCAGATTTGCCCCTTCTTGCGGTCAATAGTGTAGCGCCCGTGGCGATCGCTGCTAGTTCTACCGGACTGTTATCTTTTTTGCAACATCGAAACAATTCAGACGTAGGGCCGGAGGAGCAAGAGGCCAACCAGTTCCAGAAACAGACGTCGACA